CCTAGAACACACAGGGCTACCGTGCAAATGCCTTAAAGGAAGAGTCCGATCCTGACCATCCAACATTTACCCTCTTACTGTAACATTGAATTACCAATTACTTTAATGCCACTTCCCAGAGTTGATTATGTGTAAAAACTAGAACATTCTCATTTTTCTTCAAATGGTAAAACTAAAGTTATTCTTTGTATCTGAGTTTCTAGTTGTTACCCGCAAGCATTTCTAATTAAAAGCTACTTTTATTATAAATGAAGAGATTTTCTGAAGCAAAAACAGAAATATTTGAAACAAACTTTACCTAAATTTAGACCATGAACTTTAAAACTACATTAAATAAGTTTACCACTCTGTACCACAAAACCATTTCGTGGGTGTCAATTCTGTATATAAGGTTTGAAACCTCTTGGACCTTTTAAAATATATAATATATAAATCTGTAAATTATTATACAGATTTTATCAATATTATTTTGACACATCATGTACCATCCATCTTAAGCAGCAGTATCACCTACCAACTCTTGAAATATCACAATTCCATCAAGTATAGATTCACCCAAAAATTTCATTTTAGATATGAGTGAATGTTTTCACCATACCCTGTTCTTACATATCAGGTAAGAAGAATTTGATTCCTTTAAGATTCAAAACAAGCATGTTCTCTTCATTAAAAAGATTAAAGAAAAAAATCATCACTTCTTAATGATTCATAAACCACTCCTAAGTCTCCTTTTTATTCTACTGTATTTAAAAATTGTTCTTCCTGAAGTTTCAATTTAAAGTCCTCTCTGATTCTTTCCAGCAATTCTGGTTTAAAAATAACATCCAATGCAGTCATTGCTAGAGCCTTGGCTGTTCGCAAAGTGTAGAACTGAGCTTCTTGTGATCCTAAAGGACAGAGAAAATGAATTAAAATATTTCTACGTTTATTAAAAATCAACTTACTAATTCTTCAGGTTAAGTCCCCCAATCCCTAAGTTGCCTCTCCAACTACCCACCACAGAATCTATTTCTGAAATAACAAACTAAACTAAATAGTCAGAAAGGCACTACTGATAGGAAAAGAGTGAGCACATGTGAAAACCTGCACTCTCAACAGCCTACCTGCAGCTTTAGTGTACTCTTCAGTATGATTCAAGGCGTTGGATCCAATGTAAAAATATGGATGAATTCCAGGGACCACAAAAGAAACATTTCCAAAATCGGTAGATCCTTGGAATGCATAAAGAAAGATATATTTGGTTAAACACTTTGCATGATGAAATTGTAACCTGAACTTGGTTATGGTTCTCTGTCCTGTAGACCTGGTGAAGTGAACACCCTGTAGAGCTGGCCACAGGCTCACGCTCTCACTGCCTCCCCTTTCACCTGCATCAGTCCCCACACAGCTGTCAGAAGGGTCTCCCAAGACCTACTCTCTCCCAACCAAGACTACTCTCACTTGCCCTCCTAGCAGCCTCCACAGTGGGCTGCTCCCTTTCCTGCCTTCTGTGAACTATGATGGTCCCTTCCTCTGTTTCCCTTGAAGATTTAACTTCCTCTCTGCAACCATGAAACATTACTATTCAAGACTCAATTCCAGGCCTTTTCCTCTTATCCTGCCATATTCTTTTTTTTTTTTTATTGGTTGTTCAAAACATTACAAAGCTCTTGACATATCATGTTTCATACATTAGATTCAAGTGGGTTATGAACTCCCATTTTTACCCCAAATACAGATTGCAGAATCACACCGGTTACACATCCACATTTTTACATAATGCCCTATTAGTAACTGTTGTATTCTGCTACCTTTCCTATCCTCTACTATCTCCCCTCCCCTCCCCTCCCATCTTCTCTCTCTACCCCATCTACTGTAATTCATTTCTCTCCTTGTTTATTTTCCCATTCCTTTCACAACCATCCTGCTATATTCTTGCTCAAGATTTTGTTCATACATATCGCTTCAAATAACCAACTCTAACTTGGTCTTTTCTGAGCTCCATGCTTGTACATCCAATTGTTAACTGTTAACTCTTTTTTTTAAAAGAGAGAGAGAGGGAGAGAATTTTTTTAATATTTTTTTTTAGTTTTCAGTAAACACAACATCTTTGTTTGTATGTGGTGCTGAGGATCAAACCCGGGCTGCATGCATGCCAAGCGAATGCACTACCGCTTAAGCCACATCCCCAGCCCAACTGTTAACTCTTCATGGATGTCTTCAAAGTAGATCAAACACAGCCAAAGTGTTTGGCAATCTTTGCAGTCCCCTAGCTGCCACTTCAAGACTTACCATGTGAGGGCAGGACTTCCAGGGAGGGCATCTCTGAACTCCTGCCCTCCTTCCTGAACACTTACCTGCATCTACTTTTCTCAACTACTCTTTGTGTGTGTGTGTGTGGGGGGGGTGCTGGGGATTGAACCCAGGGCCTTGTTCAACTATTTCTTTTAAAATAAAAATTCATAAGCTTCCCGTTCTTCAACCCTACCCATCAATACTATTTTCCAAATGCCTCAGAAGCCTAACACTTTTCCCTTCACCATCACCATCACCATCACCTGTCCCTAGTCTACATAATTACCACTTCTTGTTGGAACTGATATAACAGTCTCCTAATTGGTCTAGCAGCATCTACTTTGCCAATATTTTTTCCATTTTTTAAAAAAATTTTTTCAATCTTAATATGGTCTGACTCCATTCACCTTCCTAACCCTGGTTTCAGACCACACTCCCACTGCTCCACCTCAGCCACTCTGGACACTATAGGACTTCTACACATGCAGTCCCCTCTCCACCTGCTTTAAACATCATTTCTTCAGTGAACTCTTACTTTATCTCCCTGGTAATGTCCTCTAGCAAAGGCTCTCACAGTATTGTATTACAATCCTCCATAAAATTTTCCAGGTTTCATTTTATTTTATCTTATTTTTTGTAACTGGGGATTGAACTTGGGGGCTCTTGACCACTGAGTCACATTCCCAGCCCTATTTTGTATTTTATTTAGAGACAGGGTCTTACTGAGTTGCTTAGCACCTCGCTTTTGCTAAGGCTGGCTTTGAACTCACGATCCTCCTGCCTCAGCCTCCAAAGCCACTGGGATTACAGGTGTGCGCAAAGGTACCTGGCTTCATTTTCCATTTATTGGCTTATTTGGTTAATGTCTCTCATAAACCACATTCTGAAACTCTCTAAGACAAAAAGCAATATTTTAAATCACCATGCTTCTAGCCTCTCACTTGACTGACACTAACATCTGCTAAATATATCATAGTAAAAACAAAGCCTTCTGTTCACTCAATAGATATTTACTGAATGCTTATTATGTGTCAAACACTGTTTCTGGCAAAGTTAGACTATACAAGAATGAGTGGTAAGAGAATGAAAGCAAAATATTTAACAACAGTTAATGTTTATCTGGAATTACCATGTTCCAAATGAAATTCTAATGCTTCATTAACATTTGAAAAGTTCTTATTTTACACAGGAAGAAACCAAAGTGTAGAGTCATGTATCCATAATCTCATAGCTACTAGTTGTGTAGTAAAGGCAGACCAGGGCCAAGCTTTGGAGCTCTGGAAAAATGATTCACTGGAAAACATTCATTGAGCACATAGTAGTACCAGGAATGGCTCCAGACACTCAGGATACATGGTGATGGCACATCAGTGGACAAGATGGTCAAATGCCTGCTAAGTATTTTAATATCTTACTTGTGGAGCTAGATCCTAGAGCCTGCAAACCATATCCAAATTATAGCCACTTTATTCTACTGTTTGTCTATTATATAAAATCCAATCTGGATACCACAGGATCTCTGCACATGCTGTTTGTCTATTATATAAAATCCAATCTCTGGGTAGATCTGACCATGCATCTTCCCTCCCGCAGCTAGACTGCATAAACATGCTAGCATAAAAGTACAGGAACATGAAGGTAGCCTTGACAATAAATTCATGGTCTTAATATTGAGCTGAGTTCTTGATGCTGTTCAGAACATACACACACAACTGATGCCTGGCCAACTCCTGTCAGTGGCAATTCTTTCAGTCCTCCAGCTGCCACTTCAAGGCTTACCATGTGAAGGCAGAACCTCTTAGGGAGGGCATCTCTGAATTCCTGCCCTCCTTCCTGAACACTTACCTGCATCTACTTCTCTCAGCTATTTCTTTTAAAAACCTTTTCTATGTTTTCATCCACTCTGCTTTCCTTTAAAGCTAACTTTCTTGAAAAAAGAAGAATCTTCCTTTGCTATCTCTACTATCTCACCAGTCAATGTAGTGGGTAAAGATGTGAGATCTAGCATCTGGTCTCACCAGCCACCCATTATTTTCTTTCAAACAATCCACAAATTTCTAATTGCCGGTGCAATGAATACTAGACCATGCTTACCTTATTCAACCTCTATAAGCACCTGACATGATTTATTCCTCCTTCCCTTCTAGAAGTTCTCTACTCCTTTGGCTACCATGACCTCACTCTCTCCTGATTATCTTCTCTGAGCATGTTGTCTCTTTCTCCATCAAGGAGACAATGTGTCCTTGCTTATCTCTTAAAAGCTGTTGACCCCAGTGTTCCATCTTCGGGCATCTTCTCCCTCTTCATACTTGGGCAATCTTACTAACAACAACCTCCCTAAATCTCCTACCTGGACAACTTTTGTGGTTCCAGATTCAAAAGACTTCTGAATAGCTCCACTTTAGAATTTCTACACTTTCTCTTGAACTTCTTCTCATGAATGATATCAGTACTCCATTTTTATTATGATGTATTTTTGGTTCTACTTCACAATATCTATTTTTCTATCTTAGGAGGTACATCTGTAACATGCAGGTCTCTTTAGTAATAATATTCTTTAAAAAGAAAAAATCTAAATAGTCCAAATATTATTTAACATATTAATTATGCTATTTAATGCATGCATATATATTTTAAATCCTAACAGCTATCTGTGACTCTTCAGAATGTGAAAATGCCCAAAATAACTAAATACTTTATAACCTGCTCATTATAATAACTGAGAATAAATTAAAATTCTACATCCCATTTTAGTAGCTTATTCAAAAATTAGAACTAAGGAAACTGAAACACTAGAAATATTCAGAAAACAGATCAAAAATTAGGTTGGCTACTTATAAAAACAAGTCTGCTAACTTGACAGTCTATACACACTGAAGAATCCATTAGTTTTCCCCCAACCATTAAGTTTGTGAAAATGTCATTAAAAACATCAGCAGTACTTCCTTACCTCCAAAACCATTTAATTGAATATGGCATTACTCATCCTCAGGTAGCTCGAAATATAATAAAAGAACTTAATTACCTGAAGTGTCATTCAGCATTGTATCTTCTGAAATGAACTCCATTCCCAGCTTTTCTCCATTCTCCATGTAAGCTTTCCATAGGCTCTTGTTGGGTAGAACATTGTAATAATCATGTGCTCCACCTTTAATTTCTACCTAATAAAAAAAAATTACAAAACAAATTTTGAAATTTAAAAAAATGCAAATTCTCTAATTTTCAATCCAGTGAGGGTTCTCTCTAACAAGAACAGATTTGTTATTTTTGGCCAGGGATGGGGGGGTGTACTGGGGATTGAACCCAGAGGTGCTTAACCACCAAGCCACAACCCCAGCCAGTTTTTATATTTTATTTTGAGATAGAGCCTCGCTAAATTGCTGAGCCTGGCTTTGAACTTGCAATCCTCCTGCTTCAGCCTTCCATGCCACTGGGATTTCAGGCATGTGTTACCATGCCCAGCCAAGAGGGACACTTTTCCATCTAGACATAAGCTTACTCAAATTCCCTACCTTAAAAAAAAATAAATGTATCTTATAATGAAAGTTTTTAAGACCCTATCTTCCTAATGTTTTAAATTATCTAAACCACATAATGTCACCAAGCTCTAAACTAGCCAGCAAGTGTCAACTTCAGTCACCTGAAGAAGGTGTAGGGAGAGCCCAGAAATTACTCTTTTAACCAGCATCCCCAAGTAATTCTGATGCAGGTGGCCAAAAAAAAAAAAAAAACAGTCTGAGGAATACAACTCTAGTTTCAGTGCCCAAAAGAAAAAAAATTGAGCTTCACTAACATTCAACATACAAAATGACACTGATACCCCTGCCTGGTCCGAAAGGTACCCTGCAAGAAATACCAAAGTTTCACAATGAGAAGGGGTTGACAGTGGTCCTCATTTATTAAATTAAGTGTATGAAGATACAGACAGTGTATGTTAAGTGTACTAATAGTAATGTGGATAGTAAGTGTCAGGAAGAATCTGAGGCAAGAAATCACTAGCCTGGGGTGTGTATGTGCCCAGTTAAGTGGATTTATAGATTCAGGACTAACTCAAATCGACAATTCCCTTGGACTAAATATAATATCAAAAATGATAGCAAATGCCAATCATGAAATAGCAGAGATCACATTTCTTCTCTTCTTGGTAACATCTAAGGTAGAAACAATGACAATTTAGTCACATCTTTCAAGTCAGTCAAAATATAAGAAATTATTAAAACATCACTTAAATAGACTTAAATACTATAACAATAAACTTTACTAAGGGAATATTGTACACTTTGAGAGATAGGCTAATGGTAAGAGTTCACATATATATTTTATAAACAAATATTTAAATATTTATAGGTAAGTAAGGGAATAAAAGCTTAGTTTGTACTGCCCTAAACTATGGATGCTTTATAATTATATACTAATTCTATACCTACTGTCTGTAATGGCATATGAGGCTATGTACTTTCTCTTACAATTGTCCACGTATCTATTTATCTATTCACAACAACACATGAGCTTTTACAGAATTCTTCCCTTTGTTGATCACATTTCCCATCTGTGCGCTCTCACTCTCTGTCCTTCACATACCTGAAAGTATGATCATCCTTAAAAGCTCCATTCAGATCTATAGTCTTCCATAAAATCTTCCTTTTTACACCCCCAGGCCAGTGATTTCCTGTCTCAGATTCTTCCTAACACTTACTATCCACATTACTATTAATACACTTAACATACACTGTCTGAGAATTACTGCTACCATGAAACACTGCTACCATGTGAACAAACCATACATCACTAGACTATGGAGGACAGAAAAAATGTTAATACATGTGAAGGTTATGCTCTTATCTGTTCACAAACACTATTTCATTTATCTCTCAAAAGAACTCTAAGATTTCGTCATTATCCCTATTTGCAAGTGAGAAAATGGAGACTCAGAGATACAAATAATGTTTCGAGGCTGAGCAGCACAAGTCAAGATCTTGTCTCTCCAACTACGCTATGTGCAAAATTCTTATTTTATATAATCCTAAAACTCACCCCACTTTATACCATACATGACTGATACTTAAATGCAAATCAGCAAATTCTCTTGACTAGCTTCTGTGTTTAACTTCCATTCCAGCCATCTAAGAGTATTTATATCACTATTTTAACAAAAACAGCTTTTGTAGATTTTGACATTAAGTTCCATTTACTGTAAGCATTTCTAAAAGCATAACTGCCAACAATGAAGGTTGTAACTTGCCAAAAGGCAGGGATTCTAGAGCAGCAATATCCAAATTACTCTATAAGATGATGTGTAAGCCAGGAGTGGTGGCACATGCCTGTAATCCCAATGGCTGGGGAGACTGAGGCAGGAGGATCACAAGTTCAAAGCCAGCCTCAGCAAAAAGCAAGGCACTAAGCAACTCAGTGAGACCCTGTCTCTAATAAAAATACAAAATAGGACTGGGGATGTGACTCAGTGGTTAAGTGCCCCTGAGCTCAATCCCCGGTACCAAAAAAAAAAAAAAAAAGATGTGTAGTCTTCCCTTTTCAGACACTGAGTAAAATACATAAGAATTAAAGGCTTTCATATTAATTATTAGACCAACTCACTTTACAAATTCCAGACATCACCAGTGAGTACAGGCCCTGGGTTCAATCCCCAGCATCAAAATATTACCACCATCAAATGAGAAGGAGGCAAGCAAGTTGGGTTTCCATCTAATTTAACATAAACAGCCCAAGCCCACATATATACCTCTGATTATAATTAACTCTGAAAAGTTCTTACTGTGCACCCTGTAGCCAAAGCTGCAGATCTGAAGCAATCTTCTGCCTTTTTGGTCAAAACTTGAAGTTCTTTCAATGAGGGTGCACGGAAGTAATAAATTAATTCAGAGTAAGAGGGAATGATATTTGGTTTTACACCACCATTTTTTATTATACCTATAAAAAGAATCAAATTACTGAAATTAAGCCTGTGATCATTACTTTAAGGTTAAATATAATCCATAAGTTTTTTAGACAATATGTACATAAAGAAAAATAATCTAAACCATTTACTTCACTGATATACCAAAATCAAACATTTTAACAGTTATACAACATAAGTTTCTATTGAGAGAGTGATATTTCCTAGCTAAGAGGGAAAAAATTGCTTATAAGTACTTTATTCTAAGGAATCTATATAACATTAGGAAATTATGATTCAGAGCTGAGGGTATAGCTCATTGATAGAGCACTAGCTTAACATAAGCAAGGCCCTGAGTTCCATCCCCAGCACCTCAGAAAGAAATTATAATCTAGATTATTAAAAAAAAATTAAAAATGTATAACTATAAAAAATGTAATATCATAAGCTATCTGGGAAATTTTTTCATTATTTTACTACAGTTGTACTGTTTGATAAAATTTTGACATTAAAAAAAAACAATGTTTGAGGTTCTATAATTACCCTCATACTTCAAGAATTCCATAAATCCTCTAAATGGTATTTAGCTCTAGGAAAATAATTTTCATACCAAAAAGAAATCATTCAGGTCAGGATCCTAAGTACTATAAACTGTCAAAACAAACACATTTGGAACTACACAGAATGAAGATTTACCCAAAGTAATAACAAAATAGATATGCACAATCTAATTCTATATGACCTACTTAAAAATGTCTTTCTTTTTTTTATTTTTTTTAAATTTATATATGACAGTGGAATGCATTATAATTCTTATTA